ACTAGAGTTGTCATTTAGGAAATCCTTAACTATTATAAATACTGTCACTTCAGAGAAACTTTCAAGTGATAGGCTTTTTTGGTTGTTGATTTTGCTGATACCTCAGGTAAAGGTGCCAGCCGACTTTTAGCAGAAGAACATTTTACTGCAGTAGTGGTTTATGTGCAGGCAAATATGAAAAGCTGGCTTTTGCGTATACCCAAAATAAACTTGACTTCAAAACTTTCAGTTACTTACTTTAGAAGCAGCTGGCATCTAATAATGCATAGTATATGCTAGGAATCATAATCCAGCTTAGCGCAGGGATGAACCTGTTACAACAGATTTCGTAACAAATTGCAAGTTGCTTAATACTTTTAGAAAATGCTACAAAGCATTTATCATTCCTTGTTTTAAACAATCTTCCTTAAACTAAACAGAAGACTCCCGTACAATTAAGTGACTCAGAATAGAGCCCATATGGCCTTTTTTTGGTGTGCAGTATATACAGTGGGAATGCATCAGTTTTGATGTAGAGGAGAATGCTTGCAGAGCTTATGAAGGAATTCCATGTTTGTCTTGGATAAGAACCCTAGAAAACTTGGAACTGAAGGTTGGTGCCTCAGCCCTTGTTCCTGTGCGCTGTGCGAGAGCTGGCTGATTTGGGTCTCTAAATGGTATCCTGTTCTCTGCAGATGTCTCACCCCAGCATTTGTAATTAGAAGACAGTGACAGACTTCCTGAAGTCTAATTTCAGAAGAAGTAACAAGCCTGTTGGAAGTAGAAGGGTCTATCTGACTTTCTTTAGGCTTAAAAACTGAGGGCAGGGTGGGGGGGGAGGAGTTTCCATCTGCCTCCTAGTCATATCCTACCATCATCTATTCCATTATTTTACTGGAGAAGTTCCTGTGAAAGCTGTAGTGCAATGTGAGTTCTGCATTCTAATCAACACCATCTTTAAGTAAGAATGAAACACCACCAGAACTGATCCGGGGCTCCGCTGTTTCTCGTAACTTATTTCGCTATTAATCTGATCTTTCAGAAACAGTCTTTTCTTTGAGGACCTAGTGACAGCAGCCTCTGAAGATCTTGACTCATGGGCTTTGTTTGTTTGTTTGTTTCGCTGTTGTTCCCATGAGTATTGGTCTCCTTTCAAACCCATGTCCTGGGTTTGAGCAGGATCCATTCCCACTCTTGTAGATCTACTAGGCAACAATGTGGCTATTTACTCATGGTAGTAAAAACGGACCCTTCAGAGGTTTTGTCTCATGAGTAAATTTTGATCCCAGTTTCAAGGTGAGTTTACTCCAGTGCATTCTTCAATCCTTACTCTTTCCATTTAGGGCTGTGCACTTTTAATAATTTGTGTGTCTGGTGTTTAATGCTGACAGGATTCCAGTCACTGGAGAGGTTTCATTGCAAGTAGCTGCAGGTGTGTTTCATGATGGATAAAAGTAGCTATTTCTTCATAAAAGGACTTTGTGTCATTCTGAAGTTTTCAATGAGAGAAATTCCTTTTGGAAGCTGGTTTTATACAGAAAAATCAAGTCTGGGACATGTTTAAATGGAAGTTTTGTACTAAAGTATTCTGTCCTGCACAACTTTTTCGTATTTAACCCTAAAGAACTGAAAACACCCATGATTTAACCAAAAGGTATGACTTAAATTAAACCCTGGCACTACTTTCGTGACAGCTTAGTTTTGAGTTTTTCTTTGGGAGCAAGGTTGCATTTTGCCTCATTTGCCAGTGAAGACTTTTTATTTTTCATGTGACATGATGGTAAAATACTATTTGTCTGTTTTTAATTTCTCGTTGGTCGCGGGACAACTGCTTTATACTAACTGTTTTCAGCGTTGCCGTGCTGCCACGGTAGCGCACCGAAGCCCGGGCAGCGTGCTTGTGTGAAAGGCAGGCGAACTCGCAGTGCCTGCTCGGTTTGCCTTTTCTGTGCTTACCGCGTTGTTTCGCGTTTGCCGCTGTAAACAAACGAACAAACCACGGTCTTTCTGCAAGCGCCCGCGGCTCTCCGCTCTCTCTCACCCCCCCTCGCTCTTTGCCTTTCCAGCAGGCTACCCTCAGCAGCAAACCCCCTCGCAGCAAGCCCAGCAGTTCCCGGCCTACAGCCAGCCGGCGGCCCCGGCCCCGGCCGCCGCCTTCCCCGGGCA